TCTGAAAAACACCCAAAGTTGGAGAAGTTCTAATAGACAGAGGAAGGGCATTCCAGAGCCTAGGAGCTGCCACAGAGAAAGCACGATCCCCTCTACATTTTAGACGAGATCGCGGAACCATAGGAGTAGTTGTTCATTTGAGCACAGAGATCTGCTGGATTGACAGACACTAATTAAATCCGTAACATAGTCAGGTGATAGACCATGCACAGCCTTATAAACATACAGCAATGCTTTGAAATGAATTCTGTATCGAACAGGTAACCAATGCAGTTTGATTAGCACAGGAGTAATATGCTCTCTCCCCTTTGTACTTGTTAAAAGTCTGGCAGCTGAGTTCTGAACAAACTGCAAACGAGAGAGAGAGAGCTGATTCAAACCCAGATACAACACATTACAATAGTCCAAACGAGATGACACAAAAGCATGAACAACCTTCTCCATATCTTCAAAAGAGAGGATGGACTTCAGCTTAGATATTGACCTTAGATGGAAAAAGCTATTTTTAACAACAGCATTAATTTGTCGGTCAAATTTGAGCTCAGAGTCAAAGATGACACCAAGGTTTTTTACACAGGACAGTTTCTTCCCAGGAAACTGCCCCAGGCAGTCATAGATATCATTAACATAACCCTTATTACCAAATAAAATCATCTCTGTCTTATCTTCATTCAATTGAGGAAAATGATTTGCCAACCAGCACTTAACCTCTGTCAGACATTGATGCAGAGACTGCAAAGCACATTTATGGTCCTGTTTCAATGGTAAGTAAATTTGTGAATCATCCGCATACAAGGGATAATGAATCCCAAATTTTTCAAAAATAAAACTCAATGGCAACATATACAGAGAAAATAAAATTGGTCCCAAAATAGAGCCCTGAGGAACCCCACAGACAAGAGGAGCAGTAGAAGAAGAGTAATCACCTAAACTGACTGAAAAAGTCCTATCCTTCAGATAAGAAGAGAACCATTTTAAGGCTAAGCCCTGAACACCAACATGATTCTTGAGACGTGCAATAAGTATATCGTGATCAACTGTATCGAATGCTGCAGTAAGATCTAACAGAGCAAACAGAGCAAACAGGTCTGTGGACGATGCAGTAAACATTTGAGACGAGCAATAAGTATATCGTGATCAACTGTATCGAAAGCTGCAGTAAGATCTAACAAAATTAGAACAACACAACTCCCAGAGTCAACACTTCTTAAGATAGAGTTGGAGACCCTCAAAAGAGCAGACTCTGTACTGTGGCCGGCTCTAAAACCAGACTGGAATCTATCGAAGATATTATTTCCTCTTTAAAAAAACATTTAACTGCTCCAACACAATTTTTTCCAATATCTTAGATATAAAAGGCAGCTTCGAAATGGGGCGAAAATTACTCATGTTAAAGGAATCTAAACCATTTTTTTTTTAAAGGAGGGGATGAATAACAGCATTCTTAAAACTAGCGGGAACAACACCAGATGACAGACTACTATTCAAAATAGTCAGAATACTTGGACCAATAGTGTCAAAAACCTTCTTAAACAAAGAAGGAATGACATCACCTAGAGACCTAGTAGGCTTCATATGCACAATTGTATCTTTAAGCTGCTGTAGAGAAGTAGGCAAAAAACTTGTCAACTGATTAATAGGATCGGCAGGAGTGATCAGCTCATTGCTAGCAGATGAAATTTGAGATCTCAATTCCAGTGACTTTACCAATACATTTTAAGAATTCTTCACATACATCAGCAGAAGGAATGAGTGATGGGGTGGCAACAGGAGTAGTAACTAACTCTCTTGTAGTTTCTGTTTTAATGGCTTTATTGATGACAAAAAACAGCACTGCATTGGTTTCATCAGCAGTTATAGCTACAGTATGATCAATCTAAGACAATAATATAATAAAATAAATAAAACTATTACTAAACCATTTGTTACTGGTTGTCAGAGCGGCTGAAAACTCTGTGACGTGTCTGAACTTCTCTCTGGAGGACAGAGGTCCAAAACCTCTCCACATCATCTACAAGGTCAGAGAGTCAAACAAGCATCTGAAGTTTCAGCATTTATTTCATGGTACATTACAATAATCAATCTGTCTGTAATGGGGCTGACGAGACGTGCGGATCCATATGCAAAGCTTTATTTGGAGAAGACAGGGACATGGTCATAAGACAGGCAGGGTAAACAGTGGCAACCAGGAATATGGCGGGCAAGACACAAGAATAATCCTAGGGCTAGCGTGGGTCGACGATAGGCAGACAGAGTCATAGGGGCAAGGCTAAAGGGAGAAGTCCAGGAAAACAGGCGAAGATCAAAACCGAAGGAGACAGACAAGGCAAGGCAAAACTAAGCTAAGGCTAAGGCTAGGGCTAAGGCTAAGGTCGAAACCGAAGGAAACCGACAAGGCAAGGCAAAACTAGGCTAAGGTCGAAACCGAAGGAAACCGACAAGGCAAGGCAAAACTAGGCTAAGGCTAAGGCTAGGAAATGACTTAGGGCTCTGTAGAGTAGCTATCGCTAGGAGAGTGATAATCGCTAGACAATACTCGGCAGAGTGAAGGAAACAGAGTTAGTGTTAAATAGAGAGGGAGTGATATGAAACAGCTGGGACCGGATTCGTGACAGAGCCCCCCCCCAAGGAGCGGCTTCCAGACGCTCAAAACCCTTTACGATTCCAGAGGGCGGTGGAGTGGAGGCGGAACAGGGGGGAGGGATGGAGGGCCACCTGGAAGTGGAGAGACCGGGCACTGAGGCAGAACTGGCAGAGCAGAGAGCTAGGGCGGAGCCGGCAGCACAGATGGAGCTGAAGACCTCCACTGCAGAACAGACGGGACCGAAGATCCCCCTGGCGGAGCAGAAGACCACCACGGCGGAGCAGAAAACCACCAGAGCCAGACAGTAGACCACCACGGCAGAGCAGAGGACCACCACGGCAGAGCAGAGGACCACCACGGCAGAGCAGAGGACCACCACGGCAGAGCAGAGGACCACCACGGCAGAGCAGAGGACCACCACGGCAGAGCAGAGGACCACCACGGCAGAGCAGAGGACCACCACGGCAGAGCAGAGGACCACCACGGCAGAGCAGAGGACCACCACGGCAGAGCAGAGGACCACCACGGCAGAGCAGAGGACCACCACGGCAGAGCAGAGGACCACCACGGCAGAGCAGAGGACCACCACGGCAGAGCAGAGGACCACCACGGCAGAGCAGAGAGAACAGGAAACCCCCCTGGTGAACCACACCGATCAGGAGACCATGGCGGAGACTGTAACAACGAGAGAGCAGAGACAGACAACACAGACAGAACATTGGGGTTGATAGACAAGACTGAGCGTTCAGGGGCAGCCTCCCTGGCTAGGTCGGGACAAGACAAAAGTACACAAACGGCCTCCATAACCGTGACAGGACAGGATGAGAATTCCCAGACAGCCTCCATAGCCGTGACAGGACAGACAGAGAGTTCATAGGCAGCCTCCTTGGCCGGAACAGGACGAGCAGAGTGTTCATAGACGGCTTCCTTGGCCGGAACAGGATGAGCAGGAAGTTCATAGACGGCCTCATTGGCCAGAACAGGACGAGCAGAGAGTTCACAGATGACCTCCTTGGCCGGAACAGAACAGACAGAGTTCATCAGGGAGTACCACTGACACCTCTGGAGGTTCTGCAGCGGATGCCGCCACCTCTGGAGGTTCTACAGCCGTACAATCTGGCAACAGGGAAAGTTCATTGGTGTTCTCCTTGATAGGACAGGTACAAAGTTCAGCAATAGTTTCTTCGACCGTGACATGACAGGCTGAAAGTCTATTTCTGAATGCTACCACCATCCTAGGAGCTGAAGCGTGCGCCGCTGCCTTGGGAGGTTTTGCAGCCTCAGACACCACCTCTGGAGAAACTGCAGCAGGCACCATTGCTTCGGGGAACACAGCAGCGAGCACCACTAACTCAGGAGATTCTG